ATTAAAAAAAAATACCGGCTTACATTCTAGATGTGGTTTCATAAGAGTCATGGTTTGTGCCCACACCTGTTATGTTATCTGGAATGTTGGCTCCAGTTTGTGAAGACTGATGTTGAGGTTTAATGTTCTATGGAATCTATCTAAATGTTTTTTGATCCAATAGCAAATTTATTTAGTTTCAAACATGGCAAAATACGAGGTTGACTCCCACTCTTTGCTCCAGTAAAATTATTGTGGGAAAAAATTCATGTCGCGATCTAACCATTTTTCTTCCTCGCTATGGCTTATTTAGAAAAATTTGTATACAACATAAGAGGGTGCTTTTCTTGTTTATATTTTGCACTGGTTTATTACCAAATCGAAAAAAATCCTTATTAGTACTGCGTTCTCTAGATTGATGCAACTGGCCAAAAAACACTTCAATCATTCGCGCATTTTGGCTACCGTCGATCAGATATTAACTGTTAGCAAGGTCGGAAATATCGCGTTTGATCAAAATCATCATCACGTACACACGCAGCGCTTAGTCAACCATAGTTTGATAATATAGTTTAATGAATGTTTTTCATTTGATATAAATTGAAATTTAATTAATCACAAATTTTGTTTTGAACAAAATGTAAATTATCTCCTCTCTCAATTTTTCTTTTTTTCTCTAACTGGCTCTCCATCCCTCTCTCTCTTTAGCTGATTTCTGGTCCTCTTTTTTCCTGTTTCTCTTTCTTCATTTATTCTTTTCAGTCTTCCGCTAATCTTTCCATCTACACACAAACACTTCGCTAATTTCTGTTTCTTTTATATTTGCTCATTTATTCCTTTCACATATATATATATATATATATATATATATATATATATATATATATATATATATATATGGTGAGTGCATAAAGTACACCATCTCTCATCACGGCCAAAGGTGGAGACCGTACTTGCGAGAGCAATCGGAAATTCTTACCCTTTATAAACTCATGTACCTGTAGATTCAAGTCGACTTACAGAATATATATATATATATATAAAGTTTATTTATTTATTTATTAATTTATTTATTTTTTCGTTTTTAATAATAGAAAAATAAAATAATTGGTACTTTATCTAAAGTGTGGAATTTTGTTCGTCCTGCTTGCATCAATCCACAACAGCAAATTCGAAATAGCAATGTTTTTTGAAGCCATTAAGGTAGAGATAGTCACATCGTTCCAATATCTAGGGGATGTTCTGGATTGTACTGGAACAGCTGAAGCCGCCGTTCGAGCACGCATACGTGCAGCCTGGAATAAATGGCATTTCCTTGCCTCTATATTGATGCGGCGTGACATCCCATTACCACTACGATCAAGACTTATTAGTCTGTGATACGTCCGGTGTTTTTATATGTTGCAGAAACATGGCCAATGACAACCAAACTGGAACAACAACTTTACCGAACCGACATGAAAATGCTCCGATGGATGCAACGATTTAGTCTGAAGGACTACATCAAATCTACCGAAATCCTGCGTCATGCTGGTTTAGATGATATAAAGGACGAATGCCGGCAACACCGTCTGCGATGGTTTGGTCATGTCAAACGAAGTGGAAACAGTGCCATAACTACTCTTGCAGATGTTGAAGTACCTGGCACACGTCCCAAAGGCCGTCCAAAGAAGTCCTGGTCGCAAACAATCGAGCAAGACATGAAAGCTCGAAATTTAAACGAAATGGATACAACTGATCGCCTAATTTGGCCCAAAAGAAAACAACGTCTTACCTCGGAGAACTGGGTCTGATTATGATGATTATGATATTGAGGAGTGTTTTGATCATCGCTATCACCTCAACCCCACCACACTACCACAACATCATTATCAGGATTATTTCTTCAACTCGAAAGCCATCAACAAATCTGGACCACCGAGTTCGCGCGGCTGCAGAAAGTGCGGCAAGAT